GGGTGTGTTTGCCCCACGGACAGGGACGCAGATTTCACAGGAATCCTGAATTCTGGCATTAGCATTTTCGGTTTGGTGTTTGTGTAGCTGAATTTCTGCTCCAGGAAATTTGAGGAGGTGTTTGATTTCAGAGTGAAGGACAAATAGGAAAACTTGTTTGAGCTTCCACTGGGTGAACTTCTAAATCTGTCCTGAATCATTTTTCCACTCCCTAATGTCTGGGAAGTCATTCACACCAGCTTCTGTTTCCCGGCTTTCCAGTGCTAAGCACTCTGATGCAGGACTTGGAAAACTTGTGGGATGAACTCCCTCCAAAGCTTGTTTACTGAACAACCAAACAAAACTTTGCTTTAATCTCTGCACTGGTCAGTTCTGCATGGCTTGGTTTGTCCTGCTCTCAGGACAACAGGGCTGCATTCCTGACAGCTGCTGAGATCAGGTGGGGTTCCCAAGGAGAACCACAGTGGGTGAACACACAGCCAAGGAGTTGCTGCTTGTTCCAAGGCAGTGGTTGTTTTCCCCCCAGGAGTCCCGTAGGACACTTTCCTGGGGAGTGTGCCCAGCTGTGTGCGTTGGCACAGTTCCCTTCCTCATACTTGCAGCAAGTTCAGTCCAGACTAGTTGGTACAACTGGAATTTTTGCTTGGAACCAACATTTTCCTTCTCCTTGAGTTCATAATAAGCTGCAAACAAAACAGCTGGGGCTGGGGTTGTCCTCATGCCATTCCCTTTTCCCAAGTTCCTGGGACAAAGCACTGTTAAATGCTAGCTGATGGCCTTCCTGCCACCTGGGCATGGTGCTAGGCTGGGGTCCTGTTGGATAGCTGGGAAGAAGGTCAGCTGGGGGCACACACCTGGGAATAAAAACCCCCCAAGCCGTCAGTAATGTTTGTTGCTGAAGCAGATCCTTCTCTTGGACAGATCGAAGAGGAGTTGTGGGAAGAAGAATTTATCGAGCGCTGTTTCCAGGAGATGCTGGAAGAGGAGGAGGAGCACGAGTGGTTTATTCCAGCCCGTGATCTCCCACAAACAATGGATCAAATCCAGGACCAGTTCAATGACCTTGTTATCAGTGACAGCTCATCGCTGGAGGATCTGGTGGTAAATTCAGTTTCTCCTGTTTCTAAAACTTGAGTGTTTGTCCAAGACTGGGTTTTACTGCTGCTAAGGGCAAGAGAGAGTCCTTTACAGGAGGGCTGAGCCTGTTAAAGGTGCCTGGCTGTGGGGTGGGGTGCGTGGGTAGGGGATGTGTCCTCATGGGACCTGACCTATTTGGTGTTTTTTCATGCCCACGTGGAGCCTTTCCCAGTCCATGGCACAAGTTCAAGAGGCTCTGGGTGTGTGTGGGGTTATGAAAGCACACAGTGAGAGGGTCACTGGGCACCTCTCACTGAGCCCTGGCCCAGGGTCTGCTTGGGACTGGGAGAACTGTAGAAATTCTAAGGAAGGGGAAAGCAGCCAAACTGTGATATTTCCCTCTTTTTGCTGTCTGACTTCTGTCCAGAGCTTAACTCAAAGGAAAAGGCAGTGTGTACTTATTTTCCCTCACAACTCAGAAGTACTCTGTTCCTGATACAGAGTACAAAACCCACACCATCCTGTCACAAAATTGCTGTGGGATTCAGATGCAGACTCCGACTTTTGCAAGCTAAAACAGCTTCAGGCAGCAGTTTCAGACTCAATTAAGAACAGAAAAGCCTAATCCTCAGTTTCTTTGTGATAAAGAGCTCATTTTGAAGGTGCTGGTGCCCACCTCCTAACTGCAGGACACTGGGCAGCAGCAGCAGCTTGCCAAGGGGGAGGACAGGATAGTCACAGACACAGACATGTAAAAAATCAATACACTGTTCATACACATTAAATTCCCAGAAGTGGCTGAAGTTCCTGGAACAAGTCACCTCTTGCTTAAATAAGCAAAATTAAAAAACCTCATGGCACGTTTTAACAGCTCAGCTTGAGAAAAGGCTATTTCAGCATGAGGGGAAGCTGCTGTGTTGGGTGCATGCCTGTGGTTTGCTGCTTATTCCCTGAGCCCTCCTCTGGCTGAAACTTCAGGTGGAGCTGAGGAAGGATGGATAATTCAGGGAGTAGCACATGGGAGTGGACTTTTCTTGGCATCATAGACTGCTGATAAATGTATGCCTGAGTGTTCCTCTAAAACTACTGACTGTTCCTGATGCTCTCTGCCTCTGATTTGTCTTCAGCTTGAAAATGGAAGATGAAAATAATGATTGAGCTCGATGTCTGTTTTTCCCTTCCTCAGGTCAAGAGTAATCTGAATCCAAACGCAAAGGAGTTTGTTCCTGGGGTGAAGTACTTAAACATTTGAGTAGACTGGGCCCTCTTTTGGTGGATGTAGCACAATTTCCACACTGTGAAGCCAGTATTAGAAGATTTAATTGTAAAAGCTCTCTCTTCTTGTCACTGTGTTACACTTATGCATTGCCAAAGTTTTGTTAGTCTTGCATGCTCAATAAAAGTGCTGAGACTGTTATTAAGTAAATCTGTCAAAAGTTTAATGGAAACATAATCGGGCCTGGCTCTGTGCAAAGGAGGCAGTGAGGTAAGAAGCACCAGTCGAGACAAAGTACCACGTTAATAAAACCTTCTGCAGACTCTGACTTTTTAAACAGGACTTGGAATTTGCGGTGAATGGTCTGTTTTTACCTAAAAATGTGTTAACTGGTGCTAGCTTGCACCTGATGATGCCTTAACTTCCAAATGAAAGTGAGGAGATCTGATTGTTATGCAAATTAGCTAATGTTCCTTTGAGGTATCAGTGTTGTTACTAATGTTGATTTTCCCCTTACAAAACATGCTCCTGGGAAGCAGCTCGAGCTTTAACCCAAATCGTGAGCTTTAACCCAAATCTTACAGACCTGTACAGAGTCATAGATCTCAGCTACTGAACTAACAGCCAAGTGATTGGGAGGAAGAAATTCCCTGTACTTTGCAGTGTGTTCCCGCGTTAGAAACGTTCCACTTCCCGATGATGTTCAAGGAATGTGAGTTTTCATCACAGTTTCTTCCAAGACCCCGGTGCCGTACATAGCACTGCCTATGTAACCCTTAGCATCCGACTTTCCATAGCTGGATTTAACCAGGCAACCCCCAGCATTAGTGATTTGAGTGGTGCTTTTCCCTTGCTTTGTTTAATCATCACTACACGATAGTCTACAGCACAACAACTTTTTGGGGGTTTTTTTGGTTTTTTTGGTTGGTTTTTTTTTTTTCCTCTTTTAATAAAGCTAGAACAGTTTTGGCTTCTTAAACTTCATATTTGGGTAGGTTAAGCTGCCATACGTGTTCAGTGTGAATAGTGTTTAAGTTGAAAATATTGTAAAAAAATTATATTTTTTCAAAAATATTTAAAAAAATAAATAATAGTAGAACTGATGTGGTGGCTGTCTCGTGAATGGGCATCTCGCACGGGAACTCGCTTGGCAGCGCCTGCAGAGAGGGCTGGCACTGGATGTGGTGCCTGGAAGGCTGTGGAACCTGATGGCCCAGGATCCTGGATGAAGCTGGACTCTGATCTTTTCATGGAATCACTGAACTGTTTGGGTCGAAAGGGACCTTAAAGATTCATTTTGACTCCCTGCCATGGGCAGGGACACCTTCCACTTGACCAGGTTGCTCCAAGCCCCATCCAGCCTGGCCATGGACACTTCCAGGCATGGGAATTTCTCTCTCCTCACGCTCCCTGTGCTCCCCCTTCGTTCTCCCCGTGACTGATCCTGGCTCAGCCCCACTGGCAGCCCTGGGAGCACCTCATGGCTCCAATAAAGCTGCTCCTGGTGCTTGGCATGGGCACAGCGTGTGGTGGCTGCAACAGTCCTGTCAATTCCTGCTTCCTAGCCGTCCATGAATCATGGAATATCCTAAGCTGGACCCACAAGGATCACGGAGTCCAACCCTGGCCCTGCACGGCACAGCCCCAGCCTTGCTGTTGATGTCTTTTGGGTTTAAGCTCCGATTAAACCAAACGGGAACACCTCAGGAGCTGGAGCTCTGCGGGGCTGGAGGGGGAGGCAGAGCCTTCCCGCAGGTGTTGTCCTGCAGCAGAACCACATCGTTTGTACTCCAGGAGGGAGAACTCCTCCCTCGTGGGGGAATTCAGGCACATGAACCCATTTTACTGTTGCTCTGTGAAATGTTGCTGCACTTATCGTGGGCTCTGCCTTCCCTACATTAGAGCTGGCCTTCCCAGAGCCAGCAGAACTACCCCAGCATTCCCACTGGAGATGGTTTAGAGTCGAGCACCTAAACACAGAAAGGCAGGAAATAACACACCACTGCTCCACAGCCGATTTTTATCAGGAGTGGGAGAGTTTCACCAGCGAGCCCTGCGCGGCTGCAACTTGTCCATGAGCCTCGGCCGGTCCATGGTCACCTTGGGGTGGTGGCAGCTGAATGCAGCAGCCAGGAGCCAGCATGTGGAGCACCTGCCTGGCCGTGGGCTGCTCTCCTGACATTGGTTTTATCACCCTTCCATATCCCAGCCAACTCCGGGATGTTTATTGGAGAGGTCTCTCCACTGGGATGGAGCTGCTGCTGTCCTGTCCCTGGGTTTGGGATATGACTGGAGCAGAGGTTGGTGGCACCCGGTGCTGAGGCTGCTGCTGAGCAGCACTTGCACCACATCCAGGCTTCCTCTCACTCCTGCTCCAGCCCCAGGAGTGGGCTGTGGGGACAAGAAGCTGGAACAGGCCTGATCAGCCACCTCTGTGCCTGCAGGTGGGGACCCACTGCCGGCACCAGGCAGTGTCACCAGCACAACCAGGACAAAGGCAGCTCTGCAGAGCTCCCCACAGACCAGGGGTTTGCAAAGGGCTTGTGCTGAGCTGCCTCTCCCGCTGCACTGAGTCAAGGCAGAGCCCACCTGGATGAAATCCAGCGTCTCTGTGTGGGGCAACCTGGCAGGGAGTACAAAAAGGTGCTGATGCAGCGCAGAAGGGTTGAGGGAATGGTGCAGGAGGCAGCAGAGACACTGGTAGGGCTTGTGTGCTTGAATATTTTATTACTTTTAATGTATAATCTTAAATTAGGCTTCCTGAGGCTGGTCTGGACACTGCCCCACACTAAGCCCGCACCAGTGCTGGGTCACCCTGCCAGGGCTGAGGCACAGCATGGAAATCCATGGCCCTGGGTGGGAGTTGGTGGCCCCGGGGCTCTGGCTGGCTCCAATGGTGGCAGACAGGCTTCAGCAAGCGCTGGATGAGCCTCAGCCGGCTGAAGGTTGGGGTGGAGCAAGGCACGGGGGTGGCAGTTCCCAGGCTGGTGCCCCCGGAGCTCGAGGTGTCCCCCAGGAGCAGCGTTGCGTTTCCCTATCCCTGTGTCCGAGCCGAGCACCAGGAGCCTTGGCTTTGGCCTTGGCGGGTGCTGATGGACCCCAAGAGCCTCTCTGGGAGCTCGGCTTGGCCTCTCCAGCGCCGGGCAGGAGCCCTGCCCTCGCTCAGACCTTGGTGCACACCGACACCCCGTCCGTGCCGTCCTGCCCATCCACGGGCGCGCCGCCGCCGCGGTCCCGGGCCTTGAACCCCGTGAACAGCGGGCACACGGGCACGCGCCGGAGCCACCGCACCCTGCGCACCGCGCCCATCCCGAACGGGAAGTCGTAGCTCCGGAGGCTGGCGCTGGCCGTGCTGTCCGAGTGCGCTCCCGCCTTCCACTGCACCAGCCCTCGCTCCTCCTGCGTCCCTGCGGCAGCCGCGATGCCCAGTGTCACCCCCTCGCCCTGCCAGCCCCTCTGACAGCTCCGAACCGACACGAATCTGCCCCCCAGCCCTTCCTGCTTCACCCCCCCCGCCCCGGCCCCGTGTGTCGCAGTTACCCGGGATGGTGTTGTCCAGGACGAAGGCGATGGTCCCCCCGACGAACATCTCCGTGGTGAGCAGCACCGTCAGGATCTGGTCCAGCTCGGGGACACCTGTGAGAGCGGGGGATGGAGCCGGGCTGTGCTGTCATGAACTGATTAATAAGTGCTTCCCTGAGGTGGGAGACCACCCGGGAAGTCCCCCCTCCTCTCTCCCTAAATACCCCAAATAAGGGATTTTCGTGGCTGAGGGTACCTGTGTTAATGGCCCCGGGGTTAGAATCCAGGTAGTTTGGCAGCGTGAGCCCGAAAAACATGGCAAAGCCCAGCACGAAGAGGTTTCGGGATGAATTCATGTCGACGAACTGCAGGTTGGAGAGGCCGACGGCCGTGATCATTCCTGCCGGCAGAGACGCGGCGATGCAGGCGGAGGTGCCCGCGGGAGCCGGGCACGGGGAGGGGCTGCCCCAGCAGGGGTGCAGGGAGGCGGCCACGGTCCCACCCAAAACTGCCCTGCATCCCTTGGGCTCAACAGCCCCAAAATCTGCGGGCACATGGCCCAGGGCTGCTGAGAGCAGCGCTCCGGGTTTGGGGGCGGCTGCGGCGCAGTTACCGAATAAGGTGCAGAACATCCCGCCGAGGACGGGGTCGGGCAGGGAGGCGAAGAGCGCCGTGAACTTGCCGACCGTCCCCAACACGAGCATAATCCCGGCCCCATACTGGATCACCCTCCTGCTCCCAATCTGCACAGAGACAGCGGCAGGTGGTGACGGTGCCCGCGCCCAATGGCCGAGCCGGGACCCCTCCCCGGCCCCGGTACCTTGGTGATGCCCAGGACGCCGATGTTGGGGCTGGAGGAGGTGGAGCCGTTGCCGGTTCCCAGCAGCCCCGCGATGATGCAGGAGATGCCCTCGGTGAAAATGCCCCTGGGGAACAACGCGGTCGGGCTGGTTCCCATCCCACTCTCCTGTGGCGTCCCTGACCGGTCTCCAGGGATGCCACGGTGTGAGCGGGGTACCGTGGAGGGGCAACAGCTGGCTGTACCTGTTAATGGCATGCACGGGGGGCGGGGGGGCCCCTGCCAGCCGGGCACAGGAGTAGTAGTCCCCGATGGACTCGATGATACCCGCCAGTGTGGCACTGAACATGCCCAGCACGGCCGCCGACGTCACTGTGGGCAGACCCCACTGGCCTGCCCGGGGTCAGAGCAGGAGGTCAGGGTTGGGGGCCACCTCAGGCCTCCCTGGTGCTCACCGCTTTGGGGTCCCCCACGGGTGTTCCCCAGCCCCGGTGATGCTACACCAGCTCCCCACATCCCCCAGGGCAAAGGGGTATCGGGAGGCCCAGCCCCACGGGGCTGCCAGGCACTCACAGGGGTAGGGAACCCGGAACCAGGGGGCCACGGACAGGATCTCCCCCCGGGCGTCTGTCCTGGCCTTGTACCCATATTCCTCGGGCTGGCTGGGGAAGACACCGGTGCGGGTCAGCACGTAACAGAACAGCCACACCACCATGATGGCCAGGATGATCTGCAGGGCAGAGACCAGGGAAGCATCTGCAGTGCTTACAAACCCATGCTTGGAAAAGGAGGGATTTGGGGGGCACTCCAGGATGCTCCCAGCCAGTCCCTACCGGGAACATCTTGAAGATCTGGAAGCGAAACAGGACGAAGCCGTGGCCCCGGCGGTAGCCGGGCAGGCAGATGGCAACCTGCCGCAGGTACTGGGCAAACAGCACGATCAGCAGGATGGTCCTGGGGGAAGAAAAACACAGGGTCCCTCGTGCCCCTGGCGTCCTCCTGGCTGCGTGTTGGACAACCCTGCCCCCCGTCCCCCCCGTCCCTGTGCCGTACATCACAGCGATGCCCCAGTGGGAGCCGGCGCGCTCGCCGGCCGCCTGGAACACGGACAGTCCGATGAGGGACACGGTGGGGGTGACGGTCAGCGGCCCGATGTAGCTGAGCAGCGCCCCGGGGAGCCCCAGCAGCCCGATGACCACCTCCACCAGGCTGGACACCATGATGGCCCCCTGGATCTGCAGGGCATAGAGAGGTGAAGGGAGGAGGGTCAGCAGCCTGCCAGGGGTTTTGGAGTTCCCCAGCGGTGGTGGCGGGATGTACCTCTCGCATGCGGGGCTGCCAGATGTGGGAGGTGTTGAGCGGCAGTGACCAGTTGCCGTAGATCTGCTCTGGGGATGGAGGGGGGTGAGGTGATCCCGGGGGGGGCAGGGAGCAGCTGGACACCCCCCCCGCACCCCCTCTGCCCTCACCTTCAGGAGGGCATCGCCACTTCTCCAGGGCCAGGATGGACTTGGCAGGGACGAGGAAGGCCAGAGCGCTCGCCTGGAAGAGGGGCAGCCTGGGGGGACGAGAGGGGATCCTGCGCCCGCGGCCCCGGGGTGGGCAGGGGGTCCCGCCGGGGCCACGGCTCTACCTGATGCCCACGGTGGTCTGGATGAGGGTGGTGATGCCCACACAGGTGAAGATGGTGCCGATGAGGTAGCTGACGGTGAGCTGGTCCTTGCCCACGCACATGCTCTCGGCCAGCAGGAACGGGACGGCGATGGTGCCGCTGAAGCAGGTCAGGTAGTGCTGGGGGGCGAGGGGGGCTCAGCAGGGTTGGGGGGGCCATGGGGTGCCTCATGGCACAGGGAGCAGGGGCTTGGGATCTGCCAGTGGGGCTCCCCCCTTTCCAGGCTGTACCTGGAAGCCGAGCAGGATGCAGAGATACCAGGGAGGCACGTCCTCAATCTTGTAGAGCATGTCCACCTCCGGCCGGGGGGGCCTGGTGCCCACCCTCGGGTCCTGCTGTGTGGGGGCACAGCTCAGCCCTGGCTCACCCAGGGGACTGGGGGCAGGGACTGGCACCCCACACTGTCCCCATAGGTGGCACAGGCTGCCCCGTGGGAGCCCCCGTGCCTTCAGGGATGGTGAGAGGTCCTGGCCGGCTGGTCTGCATCCCATGGTGCGTTACAGATGGATTTGGGGTGCTGTGCTGCCCGTGGGGTGCCCCAGTACTCACCCTGCCCGCCGCAGGCAGCTCCTTCCCGGGGGTCTGTGAGGAGCCAGCAGGAGCCTGAGCCAAGTTCCCATTCTGGCAGTGAGGGTGAGGTGGGGGCTGGGTCAGTGTGGGCCTGGGTGTCCCATGGGAACAGGGCTGGGCTCTGCCCTGGGGATGTGGGGGGACACCAGGCCATGGCTCAGCCTGTGTGTCTGCTCAGTCCCACCCGGCACCACCTCTGACCCTCAAAAGGGGTCTAGGCTCCAAAACCCGCTGGTCCCTCTGTGATGGTTTGCCCCTGGAAAGTGTGGAGGGGGGTTCCTACTGGCCCTAGGGTGCCTAGACCACCCTGCAGGTGCTGGGAAAGCTGGCACAAACCAGTCCCAGCCGCAGCATCTCTGCCTGTCCCGTTGGTCCCAGGATTCCCCGCAGTTCCCAGGCTCATCCCGCCCTTTGCCAGCCCCAGCAGGGCATCCTGACCCTGCGCTGGCCATCGCCGGAGTCAAAACCCCTGGTCACCACCTCCCTCCCCGCCGCCCCGGGATGTGACCAAGGGATGGGGATGGGGACAGGGACGGAGGCTGCGTTCACCTGGGGCTGAGCCCGGTCCCCCGAGCGGGTCCCCATCCTCCGGCGACGCGTCCCCGGCAGCGATGTCACCGCTCGGGGGGTTTTATGGCCGTGGGAAGGACTTTAGTCACCTCCCGGGCGGTGGCGGTGGCAGGGGCGGCGGGCGGGAGGGCGGCCATTGGCTGCGGGTTGTGAAACCAGGGAGCGCAGCCCCGGGACGGATCAGCCATTAACTGCTTTAATTAGGGCTGCACCCGCCGGGAGCACCGCGTCGTGAAACATTAGAGCCGGTGGGTTACAGAGTAATTCCCCGGCTCGCCGGGGGTCCGGCCGGGCGGGACAGCGGCTGCTGCCGCATCTCCCCCGGGCTGCGCGTCGAGGGACAGCGGCGACAGCGGCGACACCGGGAGGGCGCCCACCGCCCGGCACGTGTCGGCTCCCGCCGGGGACGAAGTCGGCTCCGAAGGTCGCCGGGGCATTAAGCATTAACCGCGCCGGGGCTACAGCTCGTTCTGCAGCGCCTTGGGGCGGGCGGGCGCCCCGGCCTTGCCGCCGCCGCCGCAGGGCCCCTTGTCCCCGTGGCACAGCAGCTCCCGCAGCGCCGCCGGGCCCCGCCGGTGGCTCTCGTAGATCTGCGCCTCCCCCTGCTCGCCCACGTAGCCGTGGCACATCTTGGAGAGCCTGCGAGGAGCCGGGGTGGTCACGCTGCATCCCCCGCCCTGCTGGGGGGACAGTGCCCGGACCCCCCCGCGTTGCCAAACCCGCACTTACCTGCCCGGCCACGGTCCCCCCGACACCATCACACTCACGGGCTCCTGGCTGGGCAGCCCCGGCCCCGCCAGGCGCTTCTGCCCGTCCAGCTCCTGCACCCCGTAACTGCGGGGAGAGGGGGAGCGGGAGAAGAAAGGGTCCCTGAGGACACCCCTATCCCTGGGGACACCTTGATCCCGGGGGATACCCTGATCCCTGGGGCACCCCAATCTCTGGGGACACCCTGGTCCCTGGGGCACCCCCATCTTTGTGGACACTCTGATCCCTGGGGAACCCCCATCCCTGAGGACACTCCCATCCTTGGTGACACCCTGATTCCTAGGGATACCCCTATCCCTGTGGACATATCTATGCCTGGGGCATCCCCATCCTGGGGGACACCCTAATCCCTGGGAACACTCCCATTCCTGGGGACATCCTGACCCTAGGAATACCCTGGTGCCTGGGGCACCCCTGTCACTGGGGACTCTGATCCCTAGGAAGACCTCCATCCTTGGGGACACACCCTGGTGACAGTTTAATCCCTGGGCAAACTCCATCCCTGGGGTCAACCCCATTTCCAGGGACACGCCACTCACCTCTCCCAGCCCTGTGAGCAGCTCCTCTCCAGCACCTCCATGTAGTCGGACTCCTTCAGCGCCTTCCTGCCCACCTTCCCCTCCGCCCTGCTCAGCTGCTCCTCAATCTGGGGTGAAAAAGAGCAGAATCTGGGCAGTGAGGGTGGCAGCCTCTCCATGACCCTGCTCCCAAGCAGGATTGGAATCTGCACCCCCTTCCTTGTGGCCCTGGCACCTGCAGCACTATTGCAGGGGTTGGTGGGTCCATGAGGAGCCCCAAGGGCCCTTTGGGGTGCCAATGCGTGGATATGCATCAGTGGGGTGCCCAGGGGAGCCGGCAGCATCTCCCCAGGCTGAAGCAGCCCTGTAAGGGTTCTCACTTGCAGTCCTGGGGGTCCATCTCCCCCATCCCCACCTGGAAGGCGATGGCTTTGCAGGCATCACAGCGCAGGGACTCGGGCATGTGGGGCGAGAGCTGCTCCTCGGGGCTGAGCTGGGGCGCGGGGACGGAGTGGGACCGGGCGGCGGGGGGGTCCCCGCACGTCCCCTTCGGCCCCCATCCCCCCCAGCAGGCTCAGGGCCAGCCACGCCGCCAGCACCGGCCCCATCCCGCCTCTCCCCGCCGGCCCCATCCTGCCCTGCTGCTGAAAGCACTGAGGGAGCTGCAGGGTGGCTTTAAACTCCCCGGGGCCAACGCACCTGCATCCGGCCCGGGGCAGGAAGGGGAGTGTGTGCGTGGGTGTCCCCCGCCCCCCCACCAAGCGCCCTCTCTCAGGGAGGTTTGTGGTGTCGTTCAGTCCTGTAACGACTCATCCCTCCTCCTCCACCCAAATCCTTCCCGGGATGGTGTGCACCTACCGGGGCTGGGGCTGGGTGGGAGTTTGGGACTCAGGGATGGGGCTCAAGGATGAGGTTTGGTATTCAGGACTGAGCTTTGAGGTTACGGGCTGGGATTTGGGGTTCCAGGCTGAGGTTTGAGGTTGAGAGTTGGAATTTGGGGCTCATGGCTGGGGTTTGGGTTTCGGGGCTGGGGATCAGGGCTCGCTGATGACTGCAGAGTCCCCTCCTGCTCCCAGGGATTGGGATTCATCTGGTGGACACTCCAAGGCAGACAGATGGACTGCAGGTCCCGAGTGCCTCAGCCTCTCACACCCCCCCTTACAGACCTTACAAGCACAGGATGACTAAGCAGGTTTAACACTGTCTCAGCATTTTTATTACTATTTTAGGGTGTCTGTGCTGCCACCGTGGCTGGGAGGGCTGGTGGTGGCCAGGCCATTACCCCCCTGTGCCGACCAGCCCGGGTCACCTTGGGATGGGACCAGAGGACAGGCCTGGCATCTTGTCCCTTTGCCAGCAGGGGTCCATGACTCCATGTCCCCCCCACAGGGCTGTCAGGTGCTCACACTGGAAAATACCCTTTTTCTCCCCGTTTCCGTGAGGAGCCAGTGAGGTCCAGCCGGTGCCCACTCGGCCGTGGGCAGGGGCTCTCCCGTGCCAGGGGTGATGCTGACTGTGGGACTAAAGCCCGGCCATGGGAAGGGACATTCCAGGCGGGTCCCTCCCGTCACATCCGGAGCTGGGGTCCCTTCTCGGGGCTGGTGCGGGCAGGGGGCTGGGCGGGGCTGGGGCTGGCCCGCATCCCCGTGGGGATGTAGTACAGGCTCTCCAGGTACCCACAGTCGGGACCCCCAGTAGCAGAAGCCCCCTCGCCCTTGGAAGCAGAGCCGGGGGTCCCGGCCGAGCCGGGGTTGTCGGCAGCCGGCAGGTCAGGGTGTGGCGGGGAGGGGGCGGAGGGTGGGGGCGGTGCCGGGAGCCCCGGGAAGCCACCGTAGGGTGTGTAGGATGGGCCATAGACCCCCGGGGCCATGACCAGGGGGTTGAAAGGTGCCTGGTAGAGCCCCGTGTGAGATGCCACTGGTGGGACGAGCACCTCCAGGTACTGCCCAGTCTCGGGGTCGTAGAGTGTTTTCATCTGGGGCTGCCGCGGGGGCTCCACGTAGTAGCACTTCCCACTGCTGGGATCGACCAGCATCCTCCGCTGGGGGGGCAGGGGGGCAGCCAGGGGCTTGGGGGGGCTCTGCCTGCTCCTGCCACTCGGTGAGGCAATGTCAGTCCTCCTTAGGAAGTGGGGACCATCCTCCAGGTGGGGCTGGGCTGGGGGCTCCGCAGCGGCTGGGCCCTCGGGGGGCCGGGGCAGGGGGGGCTCAGGGCTGGGTTTGCTCCAGGGCGCTTCCCCACCAGCCAGGGGATACAGCCCCGGTCCCAGTGGAGCACTGGCTGGGTTGGGGACCAGAGGGGATCCAAAGAAAGAGCTGGACATGCTGGAGACTGATGGATGCCCAAGGGAAGCTGGGACTGGGTTGGTGACCAAGGGGGATCCAAAGGATGAGCTAGTGGGGTTGGGGACCAAGGGATTCCCAAAAGATGCACTGGATGGATTGGGCACCAAGGGGTTCCCAAAGGATGCACTGGATGGATTGGGCACCAAGGGGTTCCCAAAGGATGCACTGGATGGATTGGGCACCAAGGGGTTCCCAAAGGATACACTGGAT